TAGTGAAACTTTATCTTTAGGAATATCAACATAAAATCAATCATGAATGATGATTAGTAAAGCAGGTGAGACATTTCAGCTTGTGCACTCTTGTTAACACAAAAATTATATGGACTGTCGCTAGAAAATGAATGGACAATGCATGCTTGGTATGGACCAAATTCCTCCTTTTTACCATACGAGGCTGCGTATTTATCTCGGGTGGGGGTGGGGAGGGGGCACTTCCTATATTCAAGGTGATGGGACGTGCCGCTGGAATAGGTCACCTTTTCAAGCTTGAAAATATGTGAAAAGGTCGGGAAAACTATCAAAAATATATGATAAGGTCAATAAAGTTTCCATAACTTCTTCGTCTGTCATCTTTCTTGGTGTTCCCGGGTGTGATTTTATCAACCAAATTTTCTCTTTTAAGACTTTGGTATTCTAGTCTTACATTACACTACATGAAACCCAAGCATAATAGGGAAAAGGTTACATTTTTACCTGCGCAATATATGAAAAGGTATACATTTTTGAAATATAAATTTTTGAAAAAGGTGGGCCCCAGCGGCACCCCTTATCAATTAAGTATTGAAGCGCCCCCTCCTACCACCCCTCCCCCGGAGGTATTTATACATCCAGCTGTATGAACACCCTGCCATAGCAAGGGATTATCTGTCAGATTAGGGAAGTCATATTTCTATACCCTACGATATGAAAATAAGGAGATGTGGTATGATTGCCAATGAGACAACTATCCACCAAAGTTCAAATTTAAAAGTCAATATTAAAAAAAATTGCATCTCCATATTATCATCATAGGCCGATAATTACGTTTCTTTGCAGCTAGCAGGTGGGTCAAACCAGTGTTCACACATCATTAAAAAAGTTGTCATGCATATTTCTTGCCGCAATGACACACTCCACTTTAATTTTTTAAGAACTTTCCTTATTAGCTTCCCTTTTGAAAAAAACGCATGTCAAAAAGTAAGACAGAAGTTAAAGTTTGCCAATATCACCGACTATTATAGCGTCCCTGTGTACTGGGTGGAGTTTTAAAATTACAATCCCAACTTTTCCTGAACCTAGTTAGTAGTATAGATTTTGTGTATATATAATGTCTTTAACTGGTAGTGTTTGGAACTGCCCGATAGACTGCGGATGTGTGTCCTAGGCAAAATCCTGACTTGGTCAAGCCAAATATTTTGCGCCGCAAAGCATGTGGTATTGAGGGATAATAGCATATACCGATATATAAGGCCGGAATACTAGTAAGGTCCCGGTTGCTATTGACCAATTTTCTTTCATCTACATGATCAAAGGTTGAAAACTGCAAATTATTGAAATGTCCGTTTTTTTTTCTGCGTAAAACAAAAAATGTGTTGCTCGAGTTCCGTTAGTCTTTTATAATAACTCATTCTTAATCAATTATTTAAGTTTTTACGCTGATATTTCCTCTTTCTTTTTTTAATGCGAACTCTGTTGGCATATTGATAGATACAACATAAAATAGAAAATTAACAAATAGCAAAATAAGTAAAAGGAAAATATTTTAAATAGAAAACATTGGCCCCGAGGTCTCATGTTATAGTACTAGAGTTCCAAATTTCACAGAATCATGATACGAGAAAATTTGTTAGATATTTTCGTGCCCATTATTTGATAAAGTATATAAATCTTTAAATAAAAATGTTATGTGTGACTGTCAAGTATTTAGTCTTTGTTTGAAAATTGTAATGTCCAAAAAAAATTTTGGAAAATAAAAAATACTTAACTATTATCAAAATTTTGCAGTGTTAAAATATTTCCCATACTCCGGAATTGTTATGTTCAAAAATTTTTGGCAAATAAAAAATACGTAACTATATATATTATCAAAATTTTGCAGTGGGAAAATATTTCACATACTCCGGAATAAGATCCCAGCAATACTTGGAAATGAAGATATTTCAAGTAAAAAATAGATTTATGACAGTAACAAAAAGTTAAAAAATGCCAAACGGATAAAACGGTTAAAAGCTCATTAGAGCTTATGTTGACTCTGTTTGTACACTTTGCCGACTCTAAATAAAGCTTATTTATTATTTTTTTATTTATTTATTATTTATAGTGTGCAGATGAACCCCGATGCCATTATACTATAGCATACTATATGGGTTTTTCTTGTTTTTGAAAGCCGAAAGGTGACATGCAGTTTACATCGCTATCCTTTGTTTACGGTTAAACATTGCGTCATTGGCAAAATATTTTCATATATATACTAATACATCTAAAAGACATCTTTTGATATATTCAACCAGTATTTAAATGAAAATAGGGTGCGAACGGATCCAAGGGGCGAACGTGTAGGGTGAGAATGTGTTTTTGGAGCGAACGCACCAGATACCGTCGTACAAGTCAATATTTATATTTTCTTTTTTTAAATGTTATGCTTTAATATATCATGTATAATTCTGTCCTTTTTATGTGAAAAATGAACAAACCACTCTGTAGTCCTGACTGTACGTATTTCCTGTTTTGTGGCTTTTGTAGAACGTTTTGCATGGTTTGTTGACATCGGGAAAGGGTGCTTTCATACACGCCCGCGTTCCAATGTCGTCAAAACTATTTTTGAGAAAACCCCTCAAGGCGACCGTTTCCAAGGTGCTCGTCGTTAGTAACATGCGTTAAAATATGCGCACTGTTAAAGGGCCGAGCCACCTTAAGTTGTCTTGCTTACACTATTTCAATGCAAACATGAAAAGCATAATATCAACCTAAATGCTGTTGTTTACAAGGGCAAGTTACTTTCTTTTATGGGATATCCTAATTGAGGGAGCATGTATTGACAGATGATTTGTTTTCAGTACAACGAAAATGAATTAAAATAATTCATGTAAGTCAAACACTACAATCAGAACACAGCTAAAATCGTCACATTGATTTTTGCCACAATATTTTACTGAAAATTTAACTTTCATTTTAAGATCTCGAGTTATGTCTGTTTTAAAGTTGAGGTACCACAAAATTAACAACAAGTGTTTTTACCCATGATGTCACAATAAATGCAGTTTTAATGTCAAGTAAGAGGCCCTTGTATGTGTGTTTTTTTTAAATACATTTATCTTGCTCATATTTTTACATATTTTTGAAATCTGCAAATATAAAGCATGTTCAAGGACCAACTAAATAATTTACCACAATACTTGTATCTATGAACAACAACTTTCATGTAAATATTTTTGTGGTACTTGTCATTTTTAGCTCACCTGGCCCAAAGGGCCAAGTGAGCTTTTCTCATCACTTGGCGTCTGTCGTCCGTTGTCGTCATTAACTTTTTACATTTTGAACTTCTTCTAAAGAACCACTATATGGAATGAAACCAAACATGGCATGAATGTTCCTTATGAAGTTTTGACCAAGTGTTGTTACTTTTAAGCCAAACCATCATCCAAGATGGCCACCAGCGGGGGACTTAGTTTAACATAGGACCCTAAGGGAAATACATACAAATGTTTTCTTTTAGAGAACCACTGAATGGAATGAAACCAAACATGGCATGAATGTTCCTTATGAGGTGCTGACCAAGTGTTGTTACTTTGAAGCCGATCCATCATCCAAGATGGCCGTAGGTGGGGGACTTATTTTAACATAGGACCCTACGGGAAATACATACAAATGTCTTCTTTTAGAGAACCACTGAATGGAATGAAATCAAAAATGGCATGCATGTTCCTTATGAGGTGCTGACCAAGTTTTGTTACTTTGAAGCCGATTCATAATCCAAGATGGTTGCCTGGGGGGGGGGGGGGGGGGGGGGGGGGGACTTAGTTTAACATAGGACCCTATGTGAAATATTTACAAATGTCTTCTTTTAGAGAACCACTGAATGGAATGAAACCAAACATGGCATGAATGTTCTTTATGAGGTGCTGACCAAGTGTTGTTACTTTGAAGCCGATCCAACATCCAAGATGGCCGCGGAGCGGTTGACTTAGTTTAACATAGGACTCTATGGGAAATACATACAAATGTCTTCTTTTAAAGAACCACTGAATGGAATGAAACCAAACATGGCATGAATGTTCCTTTTGAGGTGCTGACCAAGTTTTGTAACTTTGAAGCCGATCCATCATCCAAGATGGCCGCCAGCGGGGGACTTAGTTTAACATAGGACCCTATGGGAAATACATACAAATGTCTTCTTTTAGAGAACCACTGAATGGAATGAAACCAAACATGGCATGAATGTTCCTTATGAAGTGCTGACCAAGTGTTGTTACTTTGAAGCTGACCCATCATCCAAGATGGCCACCAGCTGGGGACAGTGTTTAACAAAGGACCCTTTGGCAATACATACAAATGTCTTCTTTTAGAGAACCACTGAATGGATTGAAACCAAACATGGCATGAATGTTCCTTATGAGGTGCTGACCAAGTGTTGTTACTTTGAAGCTGATCCTTCATCCACGATGGCCACCAGCGGGGGGGACTTCTTTTAACATAAGACCCTATTGGAAATACATACAAATGCTTCTTCTAGAGGTGCACTGAATAGAATGAAACCAAACATGGCATAAATGTTTCTTATGAGGTGCTGATGAAGTGTTGCTACTTTGTTGCTGATTTACTGTTCAAGATGGCTACCAGGATTTTTAATTAAATTACAGGGCCAATATTAAACCAAATTTGGCCTCACTCAGGGTATCTGTTATGATTTTAATCTATTTTAACATGATTTCCAAAACCAAAGTAGAATCAGGTGAGCAACACAGGCTCTTGAGAGCCTTAGTTTGGTAGAAAAATTGGAATTTTGTCATCTTTGTACTGTAAAACCTCTAAATATTCCATGATCAAAGATATTAAAGTTTCATATTTGCAAAGCTAAAATCACTTAGTTTTGTAATACAAAATGTATTTCATTTTTGTAGAAGGAAAGGGCCCCTCTGTGCACCTCTTCAATTTTCAATACTATTATAGAGTATATAATGAGTTCTTTACATAATTTTAATGCATTTGATTTAAAATATTGTTAATTTCAGGTTCATAGACCCATGTCTAGTTCCGGTACACCAATGACCCCCAGGGCTGAACTACAACAACAAGACAATCAAGTGCTCATGTCAGTCATTACAACATTTGCTACCATTACATCACGGTCAACAATGGGTGGTGTTATTGTGGCAGGACTTGTGAGTAGATGCTCTTGAAAAATGGTTGAGAGTTTACATATTATAAGTTATCATTAGTTTTAATTTATGTAAAATACATGGTCTTGGAAATGAGCACTAAGCACAGTCATAGTGAAGACAATGATGTTGAGATTTTCTGTATTTAGAAATAAGAAGAGGACTTTTGGCTTGCATTTGTAATAAAAAGATGGATTAGATCTTTTATTTTATGTAGCTACACAATAATTCCTAAGCTTACATGCTACAGTTTCTAAGCATACACATAACAATTCCTTAGTAAGCACATCACTAAGGAAAGTAATATTTTTCCTATTAAGTGATGATACAGCCATTTGTTCCTTTCAGGTACTCAAGGTAACTGGATGGAAGGTTGTAGCAGCAGTAGGGTCATTATATTGTATGTTATACCTGTATGAGTGGTTGAGTTGGACCAATAAAGCTAAGGAGAGGAGATTTAAAAGTCAATATGTGGAGTATGCAGCTAGTAAACTCCGACTGATTGTAGATCTGACAAGTTCTAACTGTAGTCATCAAGTACAACAGTAAGTATTAGTAAACTCTGACTGATTGTAGATCTGACAAGTTCTAACTGTAGTCATCAAGTACAACAGTAAGTATTAGTAAACTCCAACTGATTGTAGATCTGACAAGTTCTAACTGTAGTCATCAAGTACAACAGTAAGTATTAGTAAACTCTGACTGATTGTAGATCTGACAAGTTCTAACTGTAGTCATCAAGTACAACAGTATGTCTTAGTAAACTCTGACTGATTGTAGATCTGACAAGTTCTAACTGCTCTCATCATGTACAACAGTAAGTATTAGTAAACTCTGACTGATTGTAGATCTGACAAGTTCTAACTGTAGTCACCAAGTACAACAGTATGTCTTAGTAAACTCTGACTGATTGTAGATCTGACAAGTTCTAACTGTAGTCATCAAGTACAACAGTATGTCTTAGTAAACTCTGACTGATTGTAGATCTGACAAGTTCTAACTGCTCTCATCATGTACAACAGTAAGTATTAGTAAACTCTGACTGATTGTAGATCTGACAAGTTCTAACTGTAGTCACCAAGTACAACAGTATGTCTTAGTAAACTCTGACTGATTGTAGATCTGACAAGTTCTAACTGTAGTCATCAAGTACAACAGTATGTCTTAGTAAACTCTGACTGATTGTAGATCTGACAAGTTCTAACTGCTCTCATCATGTACAACAGTAAGTATTAGTAAACTCTGACTGATTGTAGATCTGACAAGTTCTAACTGTAGTCACCAAGTACAACAGTATGTCTTAGTAAACTCTGACTGATTGTAGATCTGACAAGTTCTAACTGTAGTCATCAAGTACAACAGTAAGTATTAGTATAAAACTCTGACTGATTGTTGATCTGACAAGTTCTAACTGTAGTCATCAAGTACAACAGTAAGTATTAGTAAACTCTGACTGATTGTAGATCTGACAAGTTCTAACTGTAGTCATCAAGTACAACAGTAAGTATTAGTAAACTCTGACTGATTGTTGATCTGACAAGTTCTAACTGTAGTCATCAAGTATAACAGTAAGTATTAGTAAACTTCGACTGATTGTAGATCTGACAAGTTCTAACCGCTCTCATCAAGTACAACAGTAAGTATTAGTAAACTCTGACTGATTGTAGATCTGACAAGTTCTAACTGTAGTCACCAAGTACAACAGTAAGTATCAGTAAACTCTGACTGATTGTAGATCTGACAAGTTCTAACTGTAGTCATCAAGTACAACAGTAAGTATCAGTAAACTCTGACTGATTGTAGATCTGACAAGTTCTAACTGTAGTCATCAAGTACAACAGTAAGTATCAGTAAACTCTGACTGATTGTAGATCTGACAAGTTCTAATTGTAGTCACCAAGTACAACAGTAAGTATTAGTAAACTCTGACTGATTGTAGATCTGACAAGTTCTAACTGTAGTCATCAAGTACAACAGTAAGTATTAGTAAACTCTGACTGATTGTAGATCTGACAAGTTCTAACTGCTCTCATCAAGTACAACAGTAAGTATCAGTAAATTCTGACTGATTGTAGATCTGACAAGTTCTAACTGTAGTCATCAAGTACAACAGTAAGTATTAGTAAACTCTGACTGATTGTAGATCTGACAAGTTCTAACTGTAGTCACCAAGTACAACAGTAAGTATTAGTAAACTTTGACTGATTGTTGATCTGACAAGTTCTAACTGTAGTCATCAAGTACAACAGTAAGTATTAGTAAACTCTGACTGATTGTAGATCTGACAAGTTCTAACTGTAGTCACCAAGTACAACAGTAAGTATCAGTAAACTCTGACTGATTGTAGATCTGACAAGTTCTAACTGTAGTCATCAAGTACAACAGTAAGTATCAGTAAACTCTGACTGATTGTAGATCTGACAAGTTCTAACTGTAGTCATCAAGTACAACAGTAAGTATCAGTAAACTCTGACTGATTGTAGATCTGACAAGTTCTAATTGTAGTCACCAAGTACAACAGTAAGTATCAGTAAACTCTGACTGATTGTAGATCTGACAAGTTCTAACTGTAGTCATCAAGTACAACAGTAAGTATTAGTAAACTCTGACTGATTGTAGATCTGACAAGTTCTAACTGTAGTCATCAAGTACAACAGTAAGTATTAGTAAACTCTGACTGATTGTAGATCTGACAAGTTCTAACTGTAGTCATCAAGTACAACAGTATGTCTTAGTAAACTCTGACTGATTGTAGATCTGACAAGTTCTAACTGTAGTCACCAAGTACAACAGTAAGTATTAGTAAACTCTGACTGATTGTAGATCTGACAAGTTCTAACTGTAGTCATCAAGTACTACAGTATGTCTTAGTAAACTCTGACTGATTGTAGATCTGACAAGTTCTAACTGTAGTCACCAAGTACAATAGTAAGTATTAGTAAACTTCGACTGATTGTAGATCTGACAAGTTCTAACTGTTCTCATCAAGTACAAAAGTAAGTATTAGTAAACTCTGACTGATTGTAGATCTGACAAGTTCTAACTGCTCTCATCAATTACAACAGTAAGTATTAGTAAACTCTGACTGATTGTAGATCTGACAAGTTCTAACTGTAGTCATCAAGTACAACAGTATGTCTTAGTAAACTCTGACTGATTGTAGATCTGACAAGTTCTAACTGCTCTCATCAATTACAACAGTAAGTATTAGTAAACTCTGACTGATTGTAGATCTGACAAGTTCTAACTGTAGTCATCAAGTACAACAGTATGTCTTAGTAAACTCTGACTGATTGTAGATCTGACAAGTTCTAACTGTAGTCACCAAGTACAACAGTAAGTATTAGTAAACTCTGACTGATTGTAGATCTGACAAGTTCTAACTGTAGTCATCAAGTACAACAGTATGTCTTAGTAAACTCTGACTGATTGTAGATCTGACAAGTTCTAACTGTAGTCATCAAGTACAACAGTATGTCTTAGTAAACTCTGACTGATTGTAGATCTGACAAGTTCTAACTGTAGTCATCAAGTACAACAGTATGTCTTAGTAAACTCTGACTGATTGTAGATCTGACAAGTTCTAACTGTAGTCATCAAGTACAACAGTAAGTATTAGTAAACTCTGACTGATTGTAGATCTGACAAGTTCTAACTGTAGTCATCAAGTACAACAGTAAGTATTAGTAAACTCTGACTGATTGTAGATCTGACAAGTTCTAACTGTTCTCATCAAGTACAACAGTAAGTATTAGTAAACTCTGACTGATTGTAGATCTGACAAGTTCTAACTGCTCTCATCAATTACAACAGTAAGTATTAGTAAACTCTGACTGATTGTAGATCTGACAAGTTCTAACTGTAGTCATCAAGTACAACAGTATGTCTTAGTAAACTCTGACTGATTGTAGATCTGACAAGTTCTAACTGTAGTCATCAAGTACAACAGTATGTCTTAGTAAACTCTGACTGATTGTAGATCTGACAAGTTCTAACTGTAGTCATCAAGTACAACAGTATGTCTTAGTAAACTCTGACTGATTGTAGATCTGACAAGTTCTAACTGTAGTCATCAAGTACAACAGTATGCCTTAGTAAACTCTGATACAGTATGTCTTAGTAAACTCCGACTGATTGTTGAACTGAAAAGTTTTAACTGCAGTGATCAAGTACAACAGTATGTATTATCTAGGATGTGAACCAGTTCTGTAACATTACAGAGTTCACCTAAAGTTTTTTATAGGAGTTTGTGTTGATTTTGTTTACTTTTCTATGTTGTATTTTGTCATATTTTATTTTCTCAATTTCTCTTTTGTTTTTTCTCTCCTTCACGGAATCAAAAAGCGAGACATAGGTATGCTGTTTCCAGCATCGGTGGCGGCTGAGGCGGTCCATTGACTGAATATTTTTCATAACTGACATGTAAAAGTATTGCTCTTTTAATTTCAACATTTAAAATGTTCAGACATTTTACTTTCAAAATAACATAAAGGCTCGACATATCTCTGTGTTAACAGTTTATTTGTCTGTTACTGTCTTGCCTTTTTTCTTACAAAACTGTTTTTTAAATTTTTGCTAAAATATCATATGTTAGACAAGAGATATTTACCATAGTACTTTTGTATTATGCTATATCATTATTATTATTGTTATATCATTAATGTGACTCGACAATGGATTTTACTAAGAGTAACATGGGTGTTATTAGTGAAGCAGGAGTTGTTAGCCCTTAGGAGCACCTTGGTTAATCTCCAGTTTTGGTGGGGCTTATGTTGCTTGTCATCTGTGTCATGTTTTGTGGACTTTTCATTTATTTAAGCTGTATTTTATTGACTTATGTTTTTTTTTTACTTGACTCCCCATTTTTTGACATATAGTTAAAGAAGAGAAATGCCATTAAAATATATATAATTGCCTCAAACAAAGCTTTATACAGGTGGTTATCTTAATGCTATTGTTAAGAAACAGAACAATTTTATTTGCTGCACAAATTGCATATATATCAAAATATTATTTGTAACAATAGTTTTACAGAATACACCTATTTATTTTACAGGGAATTGTCATCCACTTTTGCCCGACTTTGTAACACTGTTGATCAGTCCAAGCACAACCTTAAAGATGAGATACTAAAACTGGACAAAGAAATCAGAAGATTAGAAGATACTTCTAAAAATGCAAAGAGTCTCAGGTACATCATGGTTTATTTAGGCAATTACCATATTTTTATTTATAGTAAGGTAACATTTAGGAGGCTAGAGGCAATCTTGATTTTGATACAAGGTTATAGCTTTTGAATTCATAGTTAAGACTTTCCAGTAACAGTTATGAAATAAAGAGCAGCTTAAAACAAAATAAAAGCTTCAAATATGAACTCATTAAAACTACATATTAGTTCAATAATCAGAAAAATCTGCTATATATTTGCTAGTTATAAAGTACTCACAGTTACAGAAAGCTAGTTCAAAGCCAAAACAACTATTAAAAAAATCCTGTGTCCAAGACTAAAATCAATCAGTACACATCCAGTGGATTAAGTGTAAAGAAGTCATAAACAGTTGGAGAAAAAAACATGATCTTGTGCAATGTTCCCCAAAAGAATTGTAGATTTACCTAGTAGTGAAACACTTACCAAGTTTTATATTCCTTCATATGTTCTGAAGACATGTAACAGATATTTATTGATACCAGAATGATAAGTCTGCACCAACTTGTTATAAAGTGTGATATTTTTCAGTTAACAGAAAGACCTTCCAGTAACTGTCATTATGAGGAACAGCTTTAAAAGCTCTATTCCTTTGATGCATTGATTATATATCTTTCTATTTTACAGAAACAAAGCTGATTGGTTGGATAAAGAACTGAATACATTTATAGAAGAGTTTCTTCAGAAGTATGATTAGTGTGCACCCTTAGCTTACTAGAAAAGTTTATGTGAAACTAATTAATACTTATTGTGATGGTAAAATTCATTTCACTTCAGTTGCTATTATTAGTACAGTACTGCAAAGGCCACTCTTCTTATAAATAATTATCTTGCAAGTTATAAGGTCTGTTCCTGGCTGTTTAGTTTACACATAAATCACTCAATCCCATTGGCTGCCATGCAACATTTTGAATTGTAGAAATTTGTGTAAATTATAGACGTTTTTATTAATATATTTATTTGACCTAAGTTTGTTACATAAATGTATTAAAAAATGATATTGATTGTTAGTGAGATGACTTTGTTTATTTGAAATAACTTCAACTTTTTTAATTACTTTCATAACAGTCTGAGAAAATTGTCTTTTGCATAGAATTTTGGAATAGAAAGAAGAGTGTTATGATAATAGTTACATGAGATAATTTTTGAAAAAGACATAAAGAGAGTTATAGTTCTCTTTGGCCCAATATATGGTGCAAACAAATTAAAAAGTCTATAAGATCGCAAAATATTAGGTATTATTCGACCATGGTATTTATTCAGTCTAATGGTATTGCATTTGTGTTATACTGTCACTAACCAAAGCCTGGTGATGTGAACAATATGTAGAATTTTATTTATGACTACAGAGGAAATACAGGTTAGGGACTTTTTGAAGTGTCTGCTTCATTTCCAAAATTCATAATTTTCACTCTAAATATTTGCTTCCAGGAAATAAAGAGCAAATTTGAGAAATAATTGAACAATTCTGAGAAGAAAACTATTACATTGAAAGTCATTTGTAATCTGAATTTATACATAAACTACCCAAACTTTTCCCAACAGGAATTCAGGAAAAAACTTTTTGTCACTTGTTGAAAAGTCTATTGATACTGGTAATATTGAGTGGTGTGTGGTAGTTTGTTTTTTTTATGGGAAAACCACCTTTCGCTTATCAAGAAGTAAATAATGTTTTTAAATGATGCTAGAACATTTCAAGAGTGTTATAATAAGCCAAAATAACAATTGGAATAACACATGTTGAAAATTTTCCAGTTTTGGTGTTTTTGTTTTAACTGTTGCACTGGAAATTTTGATCTCATTAAAGAAAGAAACAGCTTCAAATTTGGTTACTTCTCAGATGTGCTCTTATTTCTTTGAAGCAAATAAACATGAACAATAACTTCTTTCACCATCTGTATGAAATAATGTTATGTTATAATATATCATTATACATTATGCATAATAGTTTACAAAACCTTCATATATTGAGGCCACAAATGGGTCTTAGTGCCCATAATATGTTTGTCAGTTTGTTTCAAATAAAATGTCATATATGATTGTATTGTAGATATGTTTTTGTTTTTTTTCACATTTTTACATAAACTGTTTATATGACACTTTGATGAACATTCTTCCTCTGGACATTTAATTTTACAACAAGAAACCAATATCACATACTTTGAAAATATAAAGTTTTTTGATGCATCAATACAAACCTACTGTTTCATATCCTGGAACTTCACTACAATTGATTAATGCTGATTGACAAAAGTCACATTTTGAAATATATTTTCTTTTGAGATTTGAGATACAGATTTTTTTTTATATTACAAGAATTCTAAAATGTCAGACAAAATTTAATATCTTTTCTCCAGTATTTGATCAAAGAAAGTTTCAGAAATGAGAAAAAAGTAACTTCTTGTTACATTTGCATTACTTGGTTTGTTTCACCCTAATGACTATGATTCACAAATTCATAAACAAAGGTTGGTTGTACATGTAATATGTTAGTGATGTTATAGATAAATGTATTTAATTGATTCATGCTTACAATGTGTGTTGTTTTGATTCATGTTCATTGTATGAAATATGATAAATTTGAATAAATGTAATGTGTAATTGTTTATATGTAGTATGCTATGTTAAAAAGGATCTCACTGTATGATTTTGTGGTTTTCATCTTTTCAACTTATAGCATATTTTAAGCCAATATAGATAAATTTTTAGCCTCTGGTACTTATGTTCAGTTTCCAAAAACTTTCAGCATGGGACCGTTTGTATTTTGGGATTAAGGAATAGATTATTTTTGGTATTAATATTATTTATTTTAATAAGATTTATTTTTCATATAAAGAAAAACTTCTGCAATCAACCTATTCAGATCTCTTTTTGAAAAACAAGAAATAATCCAGAAAAGCTTTGCACACATAACTATCAATTAATCTAATGCAAATTTCATACGATTTTGCATAATTCTTTTTTAGCCAAATGAAGCCCCTTATATTCTATTTATCTAATGAATTTTGTTTTTTAATTGTTCTCAATTCGTTCATAGAAATAATGAAATTGTTTATAGAAATAATGTTATTGTTAACAGAAATAATGAAATTGTTTATAGAAATAATGTTATTGTTAACAGAAATAATGAAATTGTTTATAGAAATAATGTTATTGTTAACAGAAATAATGGAATTGTTTATAGAAATAATAAATAATGAAATTATTCATAGAAATAATACATAATGAAATTGTTTATAGAAATAATACATAATGAAATTGTTTATAGAAATACTGAAATTGTTCATAGAAATAATGAAATTGTTTATAGAAATAATAAATAATGAAATTGTTCTTAGAAATAATACATAATGAAATTGTTCTTAGAAATAATACATAATGAAATTGCTAATAAAAATAATGAAATTGTTCATAGAAATACTGAAATTTTTCACAGAAATAATGAAATTGTTTATAGAAATAATGTTATTGTTAACAGAAATAATGGAATTGTTTATAGAAATAATAAATAATGAAATTATTCATAGAAATAATACATAATGAAATTGTTTATAAAAATAATACATAATGAAATTGTTTATAGAAATACTGAAATTGTTCATAGAAATAATGAAATTGTTTATAGAAATAATAAATAATGAAATTGTTCTTAGAAATAATACATAATGAAATTGTTCTTAGAAATAATACATAATGAAATTGCTAATAAAAATAATGAAATTGTTCATAGAAGTACTGAAATTTTTCACAGAAATAATGAAATTGTTTATAGAAATACTGAAATTGTTCACAGAAATAATGAAATTGTTTATAGAAATAATAAATAATGAAATTGTTCATAGAAATAATACATAATGAAATTGCTTATAGAAATACTGAAATTGTTCATAGAAATAATGAAATTGTTTATAGAAATAATAAATAATGAAATTGTTCTTAGAAATAATACATAGTGAAATTGTTAATAAAAATAATGAAATTGTTTATAGAAATACTGAAATTGTTCACAGAAATAATGAAATTGTCTATAGAAATACTGAAATTGTTTATAGAAATAATAAATAATGAAATTGTTCTTAGAAATAATACATAATGAAATTGTTTATAGAAATACTGAAATTGTTCATAGAAATACTTAAATTGTTCACAGAAATAATGAAATTGTCTATAGAAATACTGAAATTGTTCATAGAAATACTGAAATTGTTCACAGAAATAATGAAATTGTTCACAGAAATAATGAAATTGTTCATAGAAATAATAAATAATGTAATGTAATTGTTCATAGAAATAATAATAATGAAATTGATCACAGAAATGATTTAATTGTTCATAGAAAAGATGAAATTGTTCATAAAAGTAATGAAAGTGTTCATAGAAATAATGAAAGTGTTCTTAGAAATAATGAAATTGTTTTTTGATGTAAGGGCTATTCCAGAAAAAAATGTATGGGGGGGTTGGAAGGCACTTTATATTAATAATACATGGGTGATGGGTATCAGAGCAACTTTTCACATATATAGTGCACTCTGATTCTAAATTACGATTGTCTGGGTGGCGGGTGCTGAAAAAAACTGCCTTCCAACCCCCCCATACATTTTTTTCTGGAATAGCCCTAATGAAATTGTACATGTCTAAATGATTTTATTGGTATTTATTTGTAGTTATTTTCAATGTAATATATTCAAAGCAAAAACCAACCTTGTTGCCATCATGCAGATCAATTTCATGCTTGGTCCCCCCTCCTTTCCTTCAACAAGATATAGTATTTACTTTAGAATTTTTGTAAAAAATTAGCCACCTATTTACAAAGTATTTTCATATAACAGCTCTTGTTTTCACTCTGATAAAAGCTCTATTTGAAGATTACTCAGTGCAATTAACCAACTTTTTGTTCCCTATTTAATTATTGATAACTAAGAAAATATTGCCCAATTATGACCACTTTTTTTCAAAATTTTCTATCAAAATAAGATGTTGTAATTTGATTTTCTCTCTATTTATTCAATGCAATATTTATAAAGTAACAAACAATTTTCCAATAACAGTTAATGCAAAAGAAATTATTATCTTTTAAACTTCACACCAAATATTCTGATCATGATCCTTGGCATTCATGTTTGTTAAACATGTGAATAAGTTGAGCTTGATGTAACAATTTTTACTTTAATATTTAAAACTTGTATTTAAAAACTAATACGATGCTTCCTTGATTTTGTTAAGAGTTAATCTTATTAAGTCTCCCAAACGAAGTTTGGGAAGACTTATTGTTTTTGCTCAGTTCTTATTATTATGTCACCCGATCGACAATGTCGGGTGACATATTGCTTTTCCTCAGTTTCTTTTTTTTATTATTATTATGTCACCCGATCGACAATGTCGGGTGACATATTGCTTTTCCTCTGTTTCTTTTTCCCTATTATTATGGCACCCTCAACGGAGTTGGGGTGACATATTGTTATTCTACGTTTCTTTTTTTTCTTATTATTAAGTCGACAAAACAGAGTTTTGGGGACTTTTTGTTTTTTTCCCGTTTCTTCTTCTTATTATTATTATTATTATTATTATTCTTCTTAACCCTAATCTGTCCGACCATTTTCTTCCAAGCCTTAAATGATGGAAACTTTATATTTGGTATGATGTTGGGGTAGTATCCCTAGTGGTGCATTCATTATTTTTTATTTCAAATGGGGGTCAACTTGGCACTATTTGGGGGCCGGAACATGGGTGGGGTCATTTTTCGACTATTGATTCGCTACTGATAGAACCTTTAAGTTTTGTGTAAACCAAGAGACCGATGACCAGGTGTCCATTACACATTTTTTTACTTCAGCCTGGGGTCATCTTGGCATTATTTTAGGGGGTCAATTTTCATGGAACATTCTAGAACAATAGTCATGTGATTAGTCATGTGATAGTGTTGAATTATTCCTATGTACTTTTTATGTTATATAATGATAGATTATTACAGGTAGCACCATATGTAGCTGTAATTCGACTGGAATTTTTAAAATGGCCGCTGTTACCATGGAAACTGCCAAAATGTGAAATTTTTTTAAAATGCTTCAAATTTATTGAAATTTTACAGAGATGTTAACGATTGTATGTAGATTTAGAATTTGACTTTGGAATTTCCAAAATGGCCGCCGTTGCCATGGAAACAACAAAAATGCAAAAAATCTAGATTTAGTCCAATCTTTATGAAACTTGACAGTTATGTGACCTGTCATGTGTAGATGTGCCATCCGACTTTGGAATTTTCAAAATGGCTGCCGTTACCATGGAAACTTCAAAAATGTCAAAAAATTCAAAATGGGTAGGGATTGTTCTGATTTTTATGAAACTTGTAAGTAATGTGACCTGTCATGTGTAGATGTGCTATCCGACTTTGAAATTTCAAAATGGCTGCCGTTACCATGGAAACAGCAGAACAATGGTTTGGGTCGTTTTGGCGAATTTTGTGTTAGCATCCTAACACAGGATTACTTGTTATTATTATTTTTATTATTTTTCTTCCACACATTTTGTCCGCGGGAGTTCTTGGAATCCAATTGACCAATGTTGATGGAACTCTACTATAATGAGGACCCCCATGTAAAGTTGTGCACCTTGCTATGGAATGGTAAAAGATGGCCGCCGTTTCCATGGAAACTGCAAAAATGCGAAAAAAATCAAAGTGCTCCAAACTCCACAGGAATGGTAACTGGCATGTGCTGATTTGCAGTTTGACTTCGGAATTTTTAAAATGGCTGCCGTTACCATGGAAACAGCAAAAATGTCAAAATTTTCAAAATGCTTCAAACTTTATGAAACTTTACAAAAAT